TATTATTAATTGAAGAATTATATTACTTAAAAAATATAAGGTGCCACTAAGCTAGTTTGAACTAAACATCAATTAGGTACTTTAAGTTAGATTTAGGGAACAATATTATACTTTCTTAATAGTTTGGTATAATATTTCTAAGTCAATCAGAGTCATTGTCAATAGTTTGTTCTTATTAATTATCTCAAAAAACAATAAATTGCTAAAGTTGAAACTAAAAAAGAAGGAAAATGAAAAACAATTCAAAGCCCTTCAAAAGATTTTTGTTCTATTTTATAACTTTTTCTTAAAAGGAGTCTTGCCTAATTAAAATATTTTTTTTTGCTTTATTTGAACCTTGGAAGGAGTTTTTTTATTATTATTTATAGCATAAAATGAGTCTTTATTTAAGTATATATCCGATTGGGATAGTTTAAGAAAAACTAAAAAACCTCAGATTCTATTTTAGGAAGCCTTTTCAATACTTGAAGAACTTAAAGAAAGAATAGAATTTCTTTATGTGAATTTATCCCATCTTTCAATGTTATAATTGTTTCCTAAAGTTAAATATATATAGTATAGTTGAAGAGGAACTTCTAGAACTTTTTTTTTTATATCATCTATAATATAATAGGAATACATAAGTATAATTAATAGAAACTTGTTTACTTTTTTCAAAACCAACATATTTCATATCAGCCAATCACCTTTGATGAGAATTTGTATTATCAAAATTTATGATCAAACTAAGATAGGTAAAATTTACTAAAAAATCATGAAAGTGATAGCTTTAAGAGATTCACAAGTAACTGGAAAGGAAAAAAATAAACTCATCTATTATCAATAAACTCTATATGTCTCTCATTTTAAAGGTGAAGAAGACTTTTATATATTTCACTATTAGTTTTTTTCCTTTATCAATAATGTTACTTAACTTGTTTTTGATTATCAAAAGTCAAGTTTTTGATTAAAAAGAATTGTAAACAAGTAAGAAAAAATAGATGTGACTTTTGAAGTGAAGGTATTTAAGACTTTTTAACAAAGAAACAAAAAAAACTTCTTGCAAATATTTTTTTTGTATGTGATTAGAAAATCAGCAGAAAAAGTTTTTTTTATTACTTATAAAATTATATTTAGAGTTTAAAAATAAACTAAAATAAATGAATTAGCCATTTAACTTTAGTAATACTATAATTAGTATAGTTTATAATATATTTAATAAAATATATACAGTACAACTAATCTAATAGAGAGTTATTAAAAATAAAAAAAAATTATTATGATAATAAATTATAACTGAAAAGTTTAATAATTAAAGAATATAAAAACTCTTTTCTGTTAATCACTTTTTGATAAAATAATTTTCTTATAAGGAATTTTTTCAAAAACAGCAAGAGATAGAAGTTTTTATCTCAAATCAATACAATAAAAACATAGTTAATATACAATAGAGATTAGTTTTTCCTATGGTACCATGTTCAAATACTCTGGTCCAATTGAATAGTTGTCCCAGACCAAGGAACTCTTTTCTAAATGGATTGGAAGGACCTCTTCTATTTGCTTTAGCAACTTTAAACAACAAGCTCTTTCTCTCCAACCTAACCTGGGCTCATTTAAAAAAAAGAAAAGAAGATGTCCTCAAAAAAAAAAACTTTAAGGAAGAAAAAAACCAGGTAAATCAGCAAATAAACAACTTTTATCAAAACAACCTCCACTTGCAAAAGCATATATGTTTACTGTTTACAGTGAAAGCTTTGTCAGCCACACTAAATGGAAAAAACACTACAATAATATTCATAAACATAAAATTATGAAAATAGAAAAACCTGAAGAATCTCACAAAAAAGTAAACCAGAAGGCTATCATTTTTAATAATAAGTATACTATTACTTTAAACAACCTAGGGATTAGATATCTTAAGACACATCATCATGGCTAATCATAATAATCTCAATAAAAGAGAAGTTCAAAAGATAATTAAGGGTACAAGTAACAAACCTGACAACTATTAGATAATCATCAAAAATGGTATAATAATTGATATAAACAATTATATATTATCCAATAGTTCTTTTGATTTAATTATACGTGGTTTCAAGACTACTTTAAAATTATCATAAGTGTTACTTAATGATCTTATAAAGGATAGTTTAAGCATGTTAATAAGTGACTCAGAATTCTATAACAAGTACAAAAGTATTTTACTAATATTGTAAAATACTAATGAAGTAAATAACTAGCTGGTAGAATGTTTAATTGTATGTATTCTATACCTGAAATAATTTATTGGTAAACTTTGGTGGGAGAAGAAATTCATAGACTATTCTAAAGTACTTAAAATTTATAGTATAGGATAGAAAATTACAATGGTTTTATAACTAGATTACTTTTAAAAATTGTTCTAGGAAAAATTAAGAAAATATTATATGTCCTCTTTTATTAGACTAGTTTATACATATCTTATAATACATTTAATATATAATTATATTATATGTAAATATTATTTTATAGTAAATAAAGGGTATAGTTATTTTCTTGCTTTTTGATTGTCTTGGTTCTCTTAGAGCTCTCATGTTTACAGTTTTCTAGGAAATTTTGCCTACCTCAGTTTGACCTTGAATTTTGAATAACATAAATTCTTATCAAAGGTGATTGACTGACACAAAACATGTAGTTTTTGAAATGTAAACAAGCTTTTATTGATAATATTCACATATCTCGATACATCATTGGTAATGTAGGAAAGAAAGTTCTATAAAAGTGTTTCCTCCAATCATGTATGTTCAACCTTCAGGAAACAATTATAATATTGAAAGATGAGTGATAGATAGGAATAGAAGATTCAACTTCGATCTTTTATTACATTTCTCATATAGTAAAAAGGTTTTTTTTGGACAAAAGCTAAAGTCTCCAAGCTTTTATCCCGATAAGGCAAACTCTTTTGTAATATGGTGCTGGCTTTACTAGTAATAAGTGAATTCATATATCGACAAAAAGATAAGTTCCTTCAACATTCTTCTTGAAGTTACTTTCAGGAATAGCTAAGTTCCATAAATATCATGAAACTTAGAGAATATCCTAATTAGGCAAACTCTTTTCAAGAGAAAACTGTGAAATGGAGCAAGAGTTTTTTGGAGGGCTTTGAATTATATTTTCTCTTTCCTTTTTCTCTAGTATCAACTTTAGCAATTCATCATTTTTCAGAATAATCGATAGTAACAAACTGTTGGCAATAACTCTAGTTAACTTAGAGACACTATGCCAAGCTACTAGGAGAGTATAATATTGTCCTCTAAATCTGATTTAGAGTACCTAGTTTAGACTTAATTTTGTTTAGTCTGAACTAGTTTAGTGGACTTCTTATATTTTTTAAGTAATATAGTTCTTTAACTAATAATGTACAACAACAAGTTAATTGCTTTATAAAAGTCTGTAAAATATTTAGATATCTTTCAATATCTCAATAAAGATATGTCAAAGTGGCATAATTGCAGATTAAAAAAAAAAATTAATAATAATAATAATTAAAGAATATTTCAAATTATTAAAAGAACAAATTAATTATTTTTCTAAAAAATATTTATTTTATTGATAGATAAATTAATATATAAAAATTTATAAAATATAATATTTTAAACTTAATAATAAATAAAAAAAAAAAAAAATAGACCTAAAAATAAAAATATATCAAATTATTTTAATTACAAATTAAAATTTTCTTTTGATTTGATAATTTTTTTGAATTACATTCTCTTCTCATTGCAATATGAAATAAAAAAAAAAAAAAAAGACGTACAGTAGCTATCCTTAATATTGTTAAGGAGGCACGCACTCATGTGACGTGAAACACTCGCATTTTTATCACCTCATTCTTCGATCTCATTGCACCATCGCAATCGGGTTAGTAAAAATCACGATTTTCTTTTCGATTTGCCAAAAAAAAAAAAAAAGTCTTTTTTCCAATGCAAAGAAGGAGATTATTTATTTGCGCTGAAGTATTTCCATATGTGCGAGAGAAGGGAAGCTTACAATCGACTGAACACCAAAAACGGACGCTATTTCTTTTTGCTATCAGGTATAGTCAGATATATTTAATGGCATTGCGTCCTACTTTGATTTCACCAAGATCTCGAGATGACAAACCGGAGAGCTGATATATCCCTTTATTCATAGTCTTTTATTTTTTTTCCATTATTATATTTGTGTCGCATTTAAGGAAAACATTTTTGGATTCAATGTATATATTGAGCCTTTTGTACGTACGTATTCATTATTTATTTATTTATTTGTCCATATATTATAGTGTAAATTGGATGTCCCTTTTTTATGTGAAATTCTTTACGATACCAGAAGTCACTCTAATTATATGATATACGGAGGTTGCGTACGATAGGATTTATTATTAAGCCCGTGCATCTCAACAAACAAATAAAGAATTTTTGGTCGGATCGACGGAAAACTAAAGAATTATGACATCTTTCCAACTTATCACCTAAGATAACGACGTTTTTATCCAATTACCGGTTGTTCCAGTTATATATGCCTGCTCACGTGATAATATATATATGTAGATTCACATTATAATATATTCCCTATTGGCTGATAAAAAGTGTGTCTCCGAACTTTATAAAAAGGTTGTTTCGCCAAAAAAAAAAAAAAAAAAAAAAAAAAAAAAAAATTTTTTTTCTGAACGTGGTTTTTTTTTTTTCTGAAAATAAGTTATTCTTCTTTGTCAAAAATAAAACATACACTTTTCCCTTTAATGCCCTTCCGCCCTACCGCACGTCATCCTTTCACCAATATTTCATCTATTTTATCTTTTGACTTTATTGTGACCGGCACGGGTTATCTACCTCGCTGCGCTTGGTGAAACCGTTTCGCACAAAATATTTAATTTTTCCTGGTGACTTTTTTTTAAAATATAAAGTCCGAAATTTTTTATTCACCCTTCCACAAAAAAATTTCTTTATTCACCGACCGACCGACCACTCAAAAACGACAAGTTTGAATTGCCATACATCATGAACTCCTTTGGCGTCACCGCTCAAGAGAAACTCAGTGAAGCTGTTCAATACTACTCTGTTGGTGAACCTGCTCCCACGAACGAAAAGCATTCGCAGAGGTCTTCGAGTATGTGCTCGTGTTTTTGAATGTTTACATACATACGTTCGGCCGTCGTCGTCGTCGTTTTCTTCTCTGAATAGAGAACTAACGCGCGCCAACCCTTACACTGTAGTCGAACCACCTCAACAAGTTGTTGAACAACCTCTCCTTGCGGTGAAGAACGAGGAAGATATTTTCGTTTCTGAATTTGAGGACCAAAAAGAACACAGTCCTACACCGAGTTCTAAGGTGACCTACACCTGCCACGTTTGTGGTAAGAGATACAAACATAGAAACTGTTTGGTTAAAGTATGTTCTTTTAGAATCATACTCTTCCCGAATATATATATTTATTATCAAAACGCGAGCAACCATACTCACTTATTAATTTGAACCTCACCACATTCACCGAACTGTTCTATAACTTCTATAGCACTTATGGGAACATCACGAAAGTTGGGAACTGTGTCTCAAGTTCAACCTTACGAAGCACCAGCAGGTTCAGATGATGGAGGTAGGCATTTGTTATCTCAAATATTTATTAAATGTCATAACGAATATATTCTTTATTATTAACGTGTTATTTTATTACACGAAAAATAGGCAGCACAGATCCTCGTCGATCTTGCATGTATAAAACAACATTAATAATCCCCTTCCCTTGTATATTTACCCTTCTCTTTATATTATTTATGCACCAAAAGCGACTGATATCATAATATCATTTGAATAGCCTATATATATTATTTTACCTCGCGTTTGGTTGTTTCATATTACGATTGTTTTAAGACTTTCGCTATAAACCTTCACCCATGCCCAAGTTTATATGAGAGGAATTTGGACAGACATTTTAGAAGTAGAATTAGTGTGTTGCTCTATTTGTATATAAAGATTTCCTTCCTTTTTATTATTTCATTATTGATACATGTTATTTAGATTCCTCCTGTTTTTTTTTTCTATTTTTTTTTTTAAACAAACACCCACACCCTTTACTAATTTTTTTTTTCTCTTCAGTGTAAAATTTTGAGAAAAAAAGATCTTCGTTCGACCTTAGCGTTTACCTGTTTTTTTTTTTTTTTTTTCTCTTCCACGGGCTTTGGATTGAAAAAAAAAAAATGTAATTATTCATGCACCATAATGTAAAAATTAAATATATAATGACCCTAAAAAAAAAAAATCTATCGTGTTCGATTAAAAAAACAATGCGAACAAAGTGAATTAAAATAGAAGTGGTTATGAATCGTCTAATGTTAACATTAAAGTTTTTTTTTTTATTTTATTGTTATGCTTGTGTTGCACCGTAAAGGAAAAAAAAAAATTGATTCGCGGTATTTCAATGTCTGGGAAAATTTTTATTTCTGGAAAAGTCCTTAGGGATGGATCGTGTGGTGCTACTACGATTATGATTGGGTAATTTGTCGAGTATTAAATTCCCGCACGTTTGTTCTATTGTCACCATTCCCTGATTGACGGGATTTACGGTGTATAAATGAAATGTTGTAAATAGAAACGGTGACTGTGGGAAATTATGGCTGACACATATGGATATTATATATACCGCAACTATAAATATATGTATATTTTAAGCGTGATAGGTGATACCTGAGGAAACGACGCTTGGAAAGTTTCCCTTCGGCCAAGACGACATTCACACGAGTATGCATAATGTACCGGGCATTTTTGTCATGCGGGTAAAGATTCCTTCTACGCAACCGTTCATCATGAATCGAGTCATCTGGTCAAATGATTATTACCAGTTACATCGGATAGTGGAAAACCTGTTGTGATGCCTTCCCTCCATCTTCTTATCTCCAATTCTTTTCTTTTTTTTTTTTTTCTTTCTTGACAAAGGATTGTCCGTGTGTGTGTATGCATGAATGGCATAGTTTGTGTGGCAGATGTGGGAATTATCATTATCTCCTTTGGTTGAGTCACCATTCCAAAGGGTTAAATCGTCGGACAAATTTGTCCTTGTGGTTAGGATCAATGGAAAAAGGGCTCCTCCCCACCAAAAATTTAAAACCTTTGACACCGCCACCGGACATGTGGACAAAACTTTTTTACATGATTGCTAAAAGAGGTATCGAAAAGTTTCATTCTATACTATAATTATCTTTGTTTTTTTTTCTTTTGAGTACGTAATAATAGTGTTTATAGTTGCGATACTTCTTTATTGTTGTCGATTTAGTCATAATTATAAGCATTCTCTTTAATCATTGTACGCACGCATGTTAATCGACGGAGTTTTTTGCCAATTTAAAATAACGAGAGAAATCGTATCAATTTTTATAATACCTAACACAAAGAATTTACACAAACATAAATTTGGTTAATTATGGTATGTAATTTGATGTACGTCGTGGTTCTGCAACAAGTATGACAAAGATGAGTCATAATTTTTGCTTTTTTCCTGATAACGGCATTACATTCCGTCACCCGCTGAAATATCACTCCATCTCTCGTCACGGTGATTATCACAGAATTTTGGCGGTTGATTTATTATCAATTAAAAATGATTCGGTTTTGTAAAAAAAAAAAAAAAAAAAAAAAAAAAAAAAAAGCGATACTTAAATAAATGATGATGAATTAATGTAATAAATGACATAATATAGAGCAAATCGTATTCTAAAAGACAATCATCTCGGAAATCATCATGCATTAGTTTATCGAGATTATCGAATTGAGAAATCAGGTGACAAAATCTATCAGTTTCATTTAGTTAGAATAAAAAAAATAAAAAGAAGAAAAAAAAGAGAAATGGTGATGGAAATCACATATGTACATATAACGGATAGAAAGAGATAGCAAAGTCAAGGAAAATGATACCCCGTGCTCATCATTTGATCGATACCGAACTCCTCTTTCGCCTTTTGGAAGTCGATCGCTGTTCGGGCGCGTCGAAGGATGACTGCGGCGCAATGCTTGAACCCACACCATCATTTCGTCGATCATCTTTGGGTGTACAAATTGCTTCTTTCACTGGAGAAAAAGAAAGGTTCCATCACGAGATTGTGAGAGAGGACCATTTGGAATTTCTACTTAAATAGGCCTTGTTTCGTACCCTCTAAGGCCATGCTCTTTCTTCTTGTCGCCGGCTCGTGAACCCCTCCGGAGATTCCAGAGCTCTCGCTCCTTCTGAAGTCGTTGATCAGGTTCTCGACGAAATCTTTCATCTCCGTCGCCATCTGGTGAATATCCGTCTCCTTTCCGTTGAACACGGATGCATTCATGAACATTAACATGAGATCGCGATGAAATTGGTCGGTGTCATGTACAACCTAAGGTGACGATGGTGATACGAAGAATGGTGTAAGTGTTACAGCTTTCTTTCTTTTTTTTTTTTTTTAGAACGGAATAGTAGAAAATTCAATTTCCTCCACATACGCCGTCGCGAAGACGTCTCTTCAACGTTTTCAGATCCATTGATTGTCTAACGATTTCATAATAGCCAGGTGCATCTTGTTCCCTGATTGGATTTTGAAAAACACTGGCGTAGCGATGATTTGAAATTTCTTGCAGGATCATGGCGACCAGCTTCATCCACGTCTTCTGCTTCTTGTCATCGAGCGAACTGCTTTCTATAATTTTCAAAGAAAAATGAATTATAATCGGACGCATCGTCCACTTCACTCAGGGAACGAAAGGATCACTCACCGAATGGTTCGATCTCACTTCCAATGACTTTCCATGATGAAATGAAATGCAAAAAATTCCTGTTAAATCTCACGTGACTTCAGTGAACCTCACCGGTTGGTTAATGACTTACCATCGGGAGTCGATGGTGGTCCCGTCGTATTCGTCGTCACATCTACGAGAGTCAGCGGTTCCTTGAATTCGGTCTTTATGGTTGGTGAATCCCCTTTCACCGATGCATTCACATCTTCCTTATGACGCGCTTCCATCATTCGTGCGTCATTGATAAGTTCCTTCTTTATTTTTTCTAAATTCAAGGCAGGTAGCGCGTAACCAGACTCCAATTCTTCGTCCATGGGAGATCCTACTTCCTCCACTTCCTCATCGTTGTCCGGTGAGCTTATCGTGTCCGCGAGTTGATTTGGTGTGATCTCCGTCGCTTCGGCTTCCGAAACATGCGCGTTGTCAATAACCTCGGCGACATCTGGTTCAATGGCAATGAAACTTTCAACCGATTCCGTTTCTTCCTTATCTGACTCTGGAGGAATCATGATCTCTTCATTTTCTTCAGACGACAGTTCTTTCGGTGAGATCGCCAATTTACCAGTGCTATGCTGTGAGCTCTGCGGACTTAGAGCCGGAGTGATGGTTCGAGAGTCCGAATTACTCTCCTTGATCTGATCATTTTTGGCTGATTCAAGATCTTCAACTTGTCCTTCAAGAGATTCATCGATCTCCATCATTGCGTCCATATTCTCGTCTGCCGAAAGGTGCGCGTTCATGGGGGTGTTCACTTCCATGATGACCTCAGGGCTCCGTGGTGGAGTCTTCGATGAAACGAGATCCTCGACAACCTCTCTCGGTTCATTATTTTCCACGTCAAGCGGCGTTGGCGGTGATAGAGCAAGAGCCACATCCTCGGCGCTATCGCGTCCTGGAGTTCGTGGTCGATCCGCTTCAACGTTGGCCTTAATCAAGACTTCGTTCGATGAATCGTTGTGTGCGAATTTGCCCGATGCCCGAGACTTCTCGCCGGTATCCGTGTGACCTCCTGTAACTTCGCGATCGCTCGTGATCTTCCCTTCATGTGTCGTGAGAGGCATCGTGTCGTTACCCTCCATAACCATCTTTTCATCATCTTCGCTCGGTTCATTGATATTCATCTTCTCATCCGAAAATTTTTGTACGCCGGATTGTTCCGACAAAGAGGCGGTGGCCTCAATACCGATGTTCTCGAATGTTTCCTCTTCAGGTTCTCCTTTTTCCAAAGCCTTCTCTCGCTGATCGGACATTTCCTTCTTCTTTTGTTCTTCCCTCAGCATCCCGGAAAGCTGTGCGTCCAACTTTCCAGAGCGTATATCCTCAATTTCAGTGACGATCGCCCTTTCGCGTAAATTATAAATTAAAAAAAAAAAGAACTTGAGTCGCAGGCAAGGAAGGAAGAAACAAATTTCATCGAAAGTCGCAAGATTTTACCGAAATTTTTGTTCGGTTGATGACACCATGGATTTCAACTCGCGAATACGCTCTTGATACAACTGTCGTGCCAATTTCGCTGCTGGAGGCATGCGATGTTCGTCTAAAAATTTGTTGCGGAGATGTTGAATGAATGGTAAATTTCAAAATCCAAAATATCGTTTATACACCATTTCACAAGAATAAATGGAGACACCGTCAAACCATTTAACGAAGCAGAAAAATCTCCCGATTTCTTTTTATTCTCACTAGATCGTTTTTTTAGGGTTGAGATTGGGTGAAATTAATGGTATGTTTTAATAAGGAATTTTGCTTCATTATCATTGCATCAACAAGAATAAACGATCATTGACCGAGTCCACTTTTTTTTTTTTTTATATATACGTGCATACACATATATTTGTCTTTTTTTTAATACATATTAAATAGTTTTTTTTTAAATGTAAGTTGAGAAAAAAAGAAAAGAAATCATGTTTCCCTCCGTCCTTTTTTTTTTTTAATTATCGACAAGTCTAGTTAACCAACTATTCAACGTCTACTAATGATAATCTCCTAAGACTAGGTTAGACGGGTTCCCCAAATCATTTAAAGACCGGATCCAAGACATCTATCCTTATGGAAACATACTTTTCTATTTCAGCCTCAATTTCTAATGGTTCGATCAAGGACTTATACTTATTGGCGCAGTTCTGAATGTGAAAAAAAAATAAATAGAATCCACGTTTTAGCTTATGAATCCTAAAAAAGGAAAAAAAGAAGAGAAGGAAAAAAGAAAAAGTTTTGAGAGTATATTATGAACCGTCTCCAAGCAGACGGTGGGAAAAAGACACCTTTTGGGTAAAAAACTCGGCAGGATGGTTGATCATGGGGTGTCTTCTCATGTCACGGCATATTGCCGGCCAGTTGTCCTGAAGCTTGTATACCAATTGCACGAGCAAGAGTTTCTCAAACGCAGTCCAAGAGTCCTCCTCAGCAAGTGACAGAGAAGACATTATTCACGAGTCCTAGAATTGATTTGTTTTCTTTTTATTTTGCTCATGTCTATTTTTAGATGCCGACGTTCACCATGTGATTGGACGATCATCATATTTCGGGTAAAAGTCATTTTATCGAGAATATTGCCGGGTACGCCGAGTCTTTTTTGTGCAATGCGAGAAATCAAAGAATCGCGTCAGGATAATGCACAAAAGCGATGGGGAATCAAAACCGCTCATGGTTCGATCTATTAATATTGAATCTCTGATTCGTCAAACTTCAACATTCGTGCTCAAAAGAGGTATGCAAAAGTGGACTCAATCCAAATGCAAAGAAAAAAAAAGAAAACGATTGTCAAGAAATGAATGCCATGGACGTTCTATTCTGCTTTTAAAAGGTGAGTTCCTATCGTAAATGAACACCCACATTCAAACTCATCTAAAAAAAAAAAAAAAAAAAAACGATGAACGACATACGGTGGAAATCAGTAGGTGATTCCGATAGGATGCGTTTTTTTTTTATGGGGAATTACGTACCTCGAGTCCAAAGTAGCGTACAAGCCTAGGTGTAATTAATAAAATGCACGTGCACGAAGAACTTTTGATATTAAAGGAGTGGTGTAGGGCGAAATACTGGTATGATATATAAAATATTAGCAGTGGAAACAAGGGGACAAAATCTTATCTTTCTGTTTATTACAAAGATGACGCATGGTGATATCAAGTGCATTTATCAATAACCCGAATCATTTCTTTCTCTTTTTCCAATTGAGAAAAATTAGAATACAAACCAAAATTTTAAAACAAACACCCCCACCGATTCCCAACATAAAATTCATTATCCCGAATCACCGATCCCACTCGTCAAATCCACGAAGATAATCAATGCTGTTTAGTCAACTTATCAACATATCCCAAACATTTAGTGACACAAGCGCTATCAATGATTTGAAACTCGAGAATGTTGAGCAGATGGAATGCAAATTCATTCCTCAAATCCAGTTCAACGATCTGATGGGCACGCGACTTTGCGAATTCGATGCAAACGGATGAGAGATTTTTGTCCGCGAGACCCCTATCGGATGAATATTAAAGAATTTCAATGTCAATCTCATAAAGTATCGGGCAGGCGGAATTCTTGCGTCAATGTGCAATTAACCGTTACCTCTTGGGTTCTATATATCTATTCCAGATCTTCATCATCTGTTTCTCCTTGTCACTCACGTCCGAAAGTTCATCCAAGGTCTACACGAAAAGACTTTGTTACTAATAATAATGACGGTTGCTTACTCGTCAAATACATCCGCGCACGATGTGACGTGATCCCGCATTGAGAAAATGCAAACCTCATCATTCAACTGTTCTAACCAATGAGTGCAAGTCTCATCCTCCGAGTCAGGGTCTCCTTCCTTGAAGGGCATAAATGTGTGGGAATGATAAAAATTGCTGGTGGGCAATGACGATATAGCGAGAGGCGGTGTGGTATATTGCTTTAAGGGATAAATGAATGGTTTGACTGTCCAACTGCCGTCTCGCTTATCAATCTGGAAATACTCGAATTCCGAAAATTCTTCATTCGAGGTCACAATTATTATGCGATCGTTTTGTAGCTGTTTTCCGCCCTGCGTTAAGAGGAAGGGTCGAACGATGAGGACCACGAGAAACACATTTTCTGAGAAAAAAAAAAAATAAATAAAAAAAAAAAAAAAATAGCGACAATTACTTTATTCCTGAATTTCAGGTGAATGTGATTATTTTCGAGATGACTCATCAAGCATTTACTGTCTGTAAAGCAGAGATGTGAACACCACGGACAACGAAAACCCCTGACATGCTGGGTCAACTCACAGTCTGCCACGCGATATATATATGAAATGAGGTGAACGTCTTTCGGCGGGTCCGGGATTAAGTGCGGCTTGGGTTCCATGGGTCTCAATGGGAGATGCACCTTGCAATCCCAATAGAGCGTAAAACGTATCTTCCAATCCGATGGTATTATAGAGCCTTGCTCCCGCGCAAGTCTCAGGACAACGTCATACTGCCCGTCCTTGCAAAATCGTCCATTTTCGATCACACTTATCTGGTTACATAAAATCCTGCGAATGTCGACGCAGTCGACATTTCGAACAGCATTCAACTTTGAATGCTCGCTGCTTAAGGTCTTTTGAGCGGGTGAAAAGGTCGCGAGAGGCGGCCATGATTGAGAATTGAGCGCATAAATGCGAAAGTTTAAAATAATGTCCTGAACGGGATCGCCGATATCTTCAAAATTTGTTATGTACGGCTGTATAGACCGAAGATCCTTGACAAAACATCCCCCTACCCCGTATAACAAAGGGATACAAGAACGATGAATCTGTTTATATTCGCAGGCATCCCAGTGTCCATTGTTCAACTTTCGTTTTTTATGATCCTAGAAGGGCAATTTTGAGTCGTGAGCGTAAAACTCTCAACGGATAATCAACTCGACAAGGACTTCGGAGATACCCTTTTAACTTTATACAGAGTGACTTCACATTCGAGTGCAAGGCGAATCTCACTTTCCGGCGCATTCTTCGCTATTATAAGGTTGGCATCAGTTCAGGATCCATCAAAGGATACTCGAGCAAAGTTCACGAATGATAAGCATATTAAAAGAATAAAAAAAGTTAACCGTGTACGACCAGTCCTTCAAAAGTCAGTTGAAGTGAACGCTTGGTTCGACTAGAGGTGAAATCATTGAATCAAGTAAAAATCAGTCGACACATGCAAACGCAATCCACAATTAGAAATCAAGCATGCAAATCAAGGGCACACCTGGTGGAAAGCAATTCTTCCTCTTTTTCTCGACGTCTAAATAATTCCTCTAGGGTAATACGCTTTCTTCCCTGAGCTGCCTTCTGCTTCTTAATGGCTTTCTTCGGAGGTTTTTGCATGTACGAAAGATTTCTCCGAAGAAACCGTGGCTACAGGAAAGAATGTTGAACTCCTCAGCTCTTTCAAGATAACTTGTCCCTAAAACAATCTGGAAGCACCTGAGCAGGTCACCATAGTAAACTTACAGGTCTTTTGGTGCCCAACCAATGATATAGACATGTTGGTCCTGAAGGGAATTCGGTTAGAAGGGAACAACAACAACCTTTCAAGGTCTGCAAGTCAAAGTACAAGAAACTCACCTGTGAAAGTATCGCGAAACAAACTCGAAACTCTATTCTGGTCTACAATATTTTTGATAGCTTTGTTCACCATTGCGGACCGGAACGTCTGTCTAGACTTTTGTTTTCAAGGAAACAAAAATTTTTTTTTTTTTTTTTTTTTTTTTTTTTTTTGAATGGAAACAAAGAGACCCCAAAAAAAATAACAAACAATTTGATCTGTATTTATAACTGGATGCATGATTGTCTTGGCCATCGTTATTCACGTGACCTACAGCCGAGATTAAATCGCGAATTTCCAAATTTGCGTAGTGCCGGCCTATTAGATAAGGGGCACTGAATTTATGCAAGGATCATGGTACAGTAAACAAAATTGCTATCGGCAATATTTCCGGTTGTGTAATTCCTGGCGAAATTACACGACGCACCAAATTCGTGTCACCGGCGATTGTGCAACGATCACCGGTAGCACGAGTCCGAACGCATCGCAATTTCATAATAGGTAGGCACGTGCGAGTCGCAAATTTTGAAATGGAGGATATTGTTCAGTACCAGAGTGACGCGAGTAGTAACGAATCAGACGGGAAGTCGACAGAATTTCGCGATGAGAATGCTTCAAGCACACGATCGGAAGACCACATTGGCCTAAATTCAGTTGAACAAGGGAAAAAGCGAAAAACTCCAGTAGACAGGATTCTATTAAACACAAACACATTTGGTACGAACAACCATGCAGATCGTTCAGAGCACCTCGTTAACATGTCAATTTCATGATTTAAATGAATAAGAAAAGAGTGTTTGGGCAAATAAGCAGATAAGAGGATACGTATCGAAGCGAGCAAAATTGCGACAAGCAAGTGAAACGGATCTGGAAGCACAACAAAAAGATCTGTTATCTCTCGGTGAGCTTTATTCCGATCGATGATTTTAACTTCGTGTGCCAGAGTTTGCATTGATGCGTTTTTTTCTTCTTTTTCAGTACCGGATGTATTGCCGTTCGATACAAAATTGCTTGACCCACCAAGTCGCATAAAATCTGCGTTGAACTCAAAACACAGCACAAACGACACGACGCAGTTTAGCGCAATCCCTAAAAGGCGGACAGTCTTTTTACAAAAAGAACACGTTAAAGGGATAAATGCATTGTTATGGTGTGGCTCTTTCGGTAAGCGCGTTGTCATGCTATTAATCTTTTCTTGCGAAAACGTTTTTTGACGAGAATTTGAACTTTACCAAGGGCAGGTATTGGCTTCGGCGTCAATGGATGGTACTGTTAAAATTTGGGATGTCTTTAGATCCAAAAGGTGCGTTCGAACTATCAGGCACGATGGTAATTTCGAACCCTTTCTTATTCCAAAATCAAGCACAAGAGAATCTAGGCATGTTTGTGTTAATCTGGTAAGATTGATGCTAACATTGTAGGAGCCGTGAAAGATGTGAAGTGGGATAATTATCGCAATGGTATACTTTCTGGTGGATATGATCAAGTTGTAAAATTAACCGACATAGAAACTGGGACCACCATGCAGGTAATATTGCAACTGCAATATGCGTGAATAATCTTATCATACATGTTTGTGTTAACCCTTGCAACACTCGTAAAAACAATAGTCGTTCCCCCATGCGCACATCGTTACCGCATTTCGGTACCATCCAACACAACCGAATGTCTTCGTTTCAGGAATGATGAAAGATGGTATACAATCCTGGGATTTACGTTCTAACAAAGTTATCAAAGAATCTAAAAAGTTTTGGGGTGGCGTTAACGACCTCGAATTTTTTCCTGATGGAACTAATCTTCTTTGTTGCTCTGACTACGTTGTGAGAAATTCGTCCGACAAAAATATAATGATTTGGGATATAAATTCGGTAATTTTGTGTTTCTTGATTTGAATCTTGAGTTTGTCTTCGCAAGTCAACTTTTTAATTATTATTTCAATTGCATCATTCGGGATTATCGACAGATGACAGTAATTTCAAACCAAATATATCAAGAAGCATTCTCCTGTACCGCGCTTAGGGTACACCCGGTGCGTAACCATTTCGTCGCCCAGTCTAATGGGAATTATATTGCGATATTTGGTAGCGAAAAACCCTGGAGGTTGAACAAAAGGAAGGTAAGAATAATAAAGACATCCCTTTTTGCACCAATTAAAATTCGCCGCTCAATCGAAATATTATTGTCCCCATAATCAATAAACAATGAATATAAAAAGCGTTACGAAGGTCATCTTGTGAACGGATACCCCATCCGTTGCAATTTTTCGCCTGAACCTGAAGGATCACATTTGGTTTCTGGAGATGCAAATGGTGGATTATTTTTTTATGATTGGTTTTCGTCCAATATTGTAAAAAAAATTGAGAATGCTCATCGGGGAGCGTGTACAGATGCATGTTGGCATCCATTATTACACGGGATTGTGGCCAGTTGCGGTTGGGACGGGGAGTTGCGCATTTGGGGGTAGTTTGTTTCTTGTTATGGTTGCATAAGTGCAATTTTTGGTATTGTAACATTATGTTGATCTGAAATAAAATATAATCCACACACCTAACTTATTCGACAAATCAAATCTTTACACATTGTTACACGATGCCTACTTTTTTATAGCGCAAATTTGAACTTGGAGTCTCTCATAATTATTCGAAATGACATTTCTGGTAACAATATATTTTCGTGAACCTCATTATCCACTATATTTTTAATCGCGAACTTATGGCCTCTTTAAATTCAACAGTCGGAATATCAAAACTCTACACCTTTCTCTCCACCACTTCCTCAAAGCCTGTTTTCCTCATTAGCTTTTATCTTTCTACTTTCAGGATCCGTGGCAACCGGTGCCTTCTCGATGTATCCTTTTCTAACATATATAATTAACCCTTTATTTTCTGTCGAAAGTGTATATCCTTAAGCGATCCATGTCATATAGTATACCGGCAAAGAATTATATAGTTAAAGAGCTCTTTTTCGCGATTCTCGCCTCTATATTATTAGGATTTGGAAGTATATTTCTATCAATGTCTGTTGGTGTCTACGTTTAATTCAGAATTAAGTCACATTCCCATGCAAGGAAAGGGAGAGTGGACGAAAATGGTTATAAACACTGCTCGCATAGATGTCTTTAATATTATCTAAATCCAAGCTAAGGAATCAATGTAACAAGTATAATAAATCATGTAATTGATATTTGGTATAATTTTTTTTTTTTAACCCTTTGTCAAGTTAGTTACTTGTGCTTTATTAAACATTTGTAAACTATACAATATTTTAGATAAAAATCTTTTTAATTACTAATATCATTGCTTGCAGGTTATTGCTACAGATCATTTTTTGAGTTTTGAAATAATCTTAATTGTATTGTATTTTTTAAAACAAAATAATTTTTAATTTTATTTTCTTTATCAATATTATTTCATAAATTTTTTGCATTTTATATTTCAATCTTTTTTGCAAATTTTGATTTTTTTATAATAATTCAATTCTGTTACTTTTATGATAAATTATTTTTATTAATTTTATATATAAAGTTTAATGTATCTGAATTAAATTTGAAAAAAAATTTTTTTTAAAAAAAAATAAGAATTTATTTTATATTTTATCTAATATTTTATTAATAAAAAATTATATATAAAAATTTAATAATATAAAAAATCAACTATTTATATAACTCAATCTAAATATAACTTTAATCAAAATTTTAAAAAGCAATAATTTAAATAATCTATAAGAATTCTTTCCACTGATCCTTTGCCCATACACAAAAAAGATGTTCGCAAGAAATTTTTTATTTCTTTGCTAATAAAGTCTTAACACTATCCTTAAACCAACTTAAAGTTTTATTTTAAAAGATACTCCCTCTTGTTTATATTCATTTTCAAACTTCCTGTGACCTAGAAAAGTCAAGAAACATCTTCTCTACCTATGGCAAGAAAGTTCTGAAAGAAAGAAAAACTAACAATGTAGTACTTGAAGTCTTTCATATTGAAGCATGTCTATAGAGGTTTTTTGCAGTAGGAGGTGATAAACATCAAGCCATATTTCAAAGTGTCTGCTCACTGTTTTTTTCCTCTTATAGTCGCCCAAAATTTTTTTGATTTTTTGAGAAATTTTGCCTATTTCAGTTTGATCCTGAATTTTAGATGACACAATCTATTGCAAAATATGATTGGTGGACATGAAACATGTTAGTAGCTGAATATAAACAAGTATCTACTGGTCACCTCACATGTTTCAATGACGTTATTGAGGATAGAAAAAGTTGATTGGTGCCTTGTGTCTGCCCCACTCCTCCAATTGGGTTAACCTACAGATCAATTACCATAAAGTCAATAAGAAACGAGTAACAAGTCCCCAGGTAGTGAAAAATCTAATATTTGTTCAAGCTGAGGTCTTTCTCTCCTATCATCCCAATTAGGCAAAGTTCAAGATCAAGGTCTCCCTTTTACCTCAGTCAGGCAATAAGACCGAACGATCTCTAATCCATGCTAAGCTTCAACTTTTTGGTTACAGTTGAGAATGCATTTCTCCAAAAGTTGTTAAAAGATATCACAATCGATAAGGATCCCCACCATTCTTGAGAACCTCCCATCATTACAAGGCAAAAGGATTGTTGAGGAATCTGACCTTTTGGGTAATGGAAGATGTATACCAGTAAAATTCTTTTAATTAGGTGTGACTGCTGGAAGGTATCATACTGAAACAACATGACCTAGTCCTTACTAGGTCACATAAGAACCTAGGATCCATTATAAGTCATCTCTCTACCACAAGTAAATAAAAAATCACTACCCAAAGAAGGTTGGAACCAAGTATGTCCTAAAAATAAAGGCACCCATTAGGCGATAAGTCTTCTCAGATAGTACACAAAAAGGAAATCAAGATCAAGAATGAAAAAGAAAAGATATTCCAATTGGGTATTTCTTATTGAGAAAAGGTCTTGAGAAGCAGGTCTTTGAAGGAAGCTGGAAATATTTCTTCAATTTTTATTCTTTCATTTTCTTGTGGTCTACTTAGATATTTTTAGATATCACCTCTTCCCTTTTTTCAATCCATTCTTTTGTAGTTTTCTGTATTTCAGCGGCTTGGTCAGACATACGGCAGTAACAACCTGCTGGCAATAATGCAGTAGACTAGAAGGGTTTTTACCCAAAAACATTGTGAAGCAAAATATTGTCCCTAAGGCTGAACTTAGAGGCTTTTATGCTTATGACGAGTTAGTTAGATTAGAATAATAGTTTAGCTATAGTATATATCATGTTGCTTGAATGAAAATATACTTTTGTTTTTAATTGATTAATAAACTGATGATCTAGCCTCGCTACAGGTACTCCAAAAAAAAAATAAAAATAATAATAATTTAAATAATCTCCTTTAAAAACAAAACAAGAAATAACTTAAATATATAGTAGAGAACAAAAAAAATTGTCAAAATTTTTTAAAAAATTAAAAATTTTATTATAATTTAGAATTTATTTATTTAAAAAATATAAAAAAAATATTAATTAAAATAGTTTATATTTATTTAATAATATTATTTTTAATTTTTATATATAAAGTTGTATAAATATTATAAGTTATATATTATTTTATATATAAAACTATATTTAAAAAATTAAATTTATTTTATTTTATTTTATTTTTTTTTTTTTTTTGCCTTCTATCAGGCTAGTTACGTATGCTTTATTAAACATTTGTAAACTGTATATATAATATGAGGCATTAAAGCTAATTCTTTAACTAACTCACTCGTCTGGGTTGTTTTACCTTTCTAAGTGCAACTTTGGAAGTAATTTATCGCTCCATTAGGAGTTCAGATAAATACTCTTTCAACTTCTAATATTATTGCCTGCAGATTACTATTGCAGATTACTCTTTTGAGTTCTGACAAAGATTAAAACCCAATTATTTCATTCCATACTTTACCCCATCTCTTATGACCTGTTTGAGCATCACATTTTCTGATTCTTCTTCCTTTAATGATACTTGATATGACTGATTTCCTGGTACCTTGGTTCTGTTTTTTTGCTTCTGTAGATGTGTCGGCCTTT